AAAAATAATTGGCGTTCTCTCGTCAGCGATGACCAGGGCCCTCAAATCATCGGATTTCTCTCGTCACGAGCAGCTCGCTATTTTTTATTTTCAGCGAAGCTCTGGCTATTCATGAATGGCTGAGGGTTTCTACGCCCCTCCGCTACATATAAACGCTGAAAAGAAATGCTAAGTGGGTGAGGGTTAAATATCGATTGGTTTTAAGTGCCGAAGCCCGAAACACTTAAATTTACTCGATAGCAGTTTTAAGACCAACGAGCTCGAATATCTTCTTGAAACAATGTAAGCACCACATAAAATGAATCGTAAGAGAAGCGGCTCAAGATTAAGGAGCTATGAGACACTTAATAAAAAACGGCATAGATTAGAAAACTGCACCTAACTTGCACTGGTTTTTAAAACCTTTTCGTTGCAGACTGGTAGATTAAATTTTAGGATTGATTTAAGCTGATGCTCAAATGGAGCTATTCATTCGTCATTCATGCGACCATCCAATTCCATTCATAAAGAAGCCAGTGACAAAATTGTTCATTTAGATAAGTGTGAAATACAAATCAATAAAAGTGTAATGATACGGCAAATTTGACAGCTTTTATAATGAACAGACAGCAACTTTAACAAATCAAAGTTGAGAGCCCCAAATAGGGGAGAGTGGGTAAGATGAGCCAAGGGGCAAGTTTAGCCACCCTTTGTTTCTCAGTCCTATGGCGCTAATTGACTTGAGCTTCCATGTGCCGTTCGCTTACGATGCTGCAGTGCAGTTTTCACGTGAGACGGCAACGTTCTCACGCTCAGCACCCGGTAACATGTGGTATCGCCCTGATAACTAAGACATGTTTTGCCTTTAAAATGAGATGGTTGTTATCTGCGGTGCATGGTTATTTTCCTTAGCGGGTGTCATTAATCGAAAATGGCCACGGGTGGGGCAAGATGAGCCATTTTCACCTGGGGGAAGATGAGCCGGATAAGCCATTGTTGTCTCCGCTGTCGAAAACCAACTGAGCTGCGCTTGTTTCTGCTGAATAAAAATGGTAGCAAATTGTTTTTCTTTGTTGATTACACAAGTTGTAAGTGATTTGCAGATTATCTGAAGGATAAAATGATTTCTTCCGTGATAGAAAATTGACGAACTATTGAAAGGCTTAAAACAGTCACTTTTTGATGGAGGAAAACAACTTTGCCATAAGTATCTATGCCATGGAGTAAATAAAAGAGCCCACTCTTCGCCGCGCCTGGGAAAAGAAAAGGTTCGCTTTTTCTATCCATGCTCAACTTTCCCACGACGTGTCTCAGCTTACCCCGCCCATGGGGTAAGATGAGCAACGTGCAAGATGATTTTGGACGTAGCCTTTTCAGTACAAAAATAAGCGGTATGAAACATTTCTGGCCACCATTACATGCGCAAATCACCAACCTGTCCGTCCAACCCGTAAACGCAGAAAAATGATCAGGTTAGCCTGTAGCTCACGAAAACAAAAAGCGGCTCAACTTACCTCATTTTCCCCTAAGTAACACAATTGAGGGCATTTTTTTAGGCCATCACAGTATTTGTCAACAATTGTTTGGGGGACTGGGGAGGGTGGTTCCTGGCTCATAATCTGTCCCCCCCAAAAAAAGAAAGAAAACGAAACCGATCATCCGCGAAAAGAACTATTGAGCTCAAACCAAGATGACGAATCGATTTATAGGTATGCAAGATGACTAACGATGCCACTTTTTGACTTCTTGTGTCAAATAAATTCCATCATCTGGATAGCACGTCAACATTCTATTTGACATTTTGCAACAAACGTATACTATTTGGCGCGACTAGCCTCATAAATGTTCTGAAACTAAAACCGTTTCTTCGCAATTAACTTGAACCACGTCATCCCAGCTTATGCACGACAAAAATAAAATAATGCTTCAGGATCACTGGCCTGAATTCCAATGCTTAAAGTTTACTCAAAACCGGTGTGGCTGACGCACTCTTCGCTACATCTCGTGACGGCCACCATTGTGTTGCATTTTTCGGTAAGCTATAAGTTAATAAGGAAACGATTGGTGAATGGGTTGAAAACAGCCCTCACCCTCCACCCCCCCCCCCCCCCTCCTTCTTCTGGAAACATACCCGCGTTCGATGTCTCCCGGACGGCGAAGATTCTACGCCGTCCGGCCAATCACATTCCACAACCGCAGCCGAGCCCCCGCTGACCTTGGACGGGATTGGCCGGACGACGTAGAATCTTCGTCGTCCGAGAGACGTCGAACGCGGGGATAGTAACCGAAAGATCTGGCGATGGTTTATCCACCTCCTCTGCCGCCGCGCTGCGAGGCCTCGATTCGTTCGGTATGTGGCTTCCTGAGCGGTCCTCCCCGGAGGCAAGGTGAAAGGTCATGTCCTGTATCAGAAATTTATACGTTGCTGAATATGTTTTATAGTTCTTCCAAGGCCTTGGACACCGTTTTATCATATCGGATAAGCATTGCAATTTCTTGTCAATCAATACATCTAAAGAAAACTTGATCATAGTCTTATACTGCGGCAATTGTAGTTCTGCTTACGGTTGCCTCTTTATGATACGGGCCACCACCACCTCCACTGCGCTGGAGCTCTGGCGTTCTACCCCTCCCCGCTACGGACCGGCTCTCGGGCTAGGTGTGTTAGTACTGAGCGCAAACCTGTAGTAGTCACGTGACTTTCATTCACGTAGCGGGAACGGAAGCTATAGGCGATACCAAGGACGGGCTCTGGGGAGGCAACCGGCGCGGAAAAATAGCACGATTGTAGTTTTGGAAGAATATCTGTTGCGGTAAGAGGAATTATACAAAACATACGTCCTATGAGCAAACATGTGTTATTCCTCCATACTTTGCACTACATTCCTTTCTCCAATGGCCAGCACTTAGCAAATAATAGCGCAATTCTAAATTGGTAATATATGTGTACAGTAGCAACTGCGGGTCCCTGTACATACATATCACAAACGTGTTCGCGAAGCTTCCATCTTTTAAGCCGCCTCGACGGTCGACACACAACGGGTTTACTTCAGAAATGTATTACAAAGCAGAAGACCCCGGCACCATGGCGATTTGCCCCGACAGGTATAAATTTCCAGTACATCACCAACGCTTCCATAAACTGGCTTATGTTTGCACATTCAAACAGACAACACGCGCTTCTTTTACCCTATTGAACAAGCTAACGTCGATAACCGTAACAGCGACGATCCGAAAGTCCGCACATACGCAGTTGGGAGAATTCATAATACGACACGACCCCCCTGTCATGCTGGGCCATGTTTCACGGCCGCTCCTAGCACGCTGCCAGCACACGTGTCAAATTGGGTTTTCAATGAGACATCAACTAACTCGGACGTTCCAACATGAATGACTTGACCACAACCTGTGACGTCCGCTCGCGAAATGCGCTGGCAGCGTGATAGCAGCGGCCGTGAAACACCGCCCTGGGGTGTGGCGACCCTGTGCCACCAAGGGCCACGCGCGACCCATCGTGACCTGTCGCCCTAGACCCCGGCCGGAGGCACAGTCGGTCGATATTATCGGCGCTGCACTCAATGACTGCTATATATGTGCACTGTGCAGACTAGCGATCGCATCACCACTGGCCACCCTGACTGTTGAATTTGATTTGTGTCGTAACACGGCGGCTTCGTCTAAGGCCGACCCCAGGAGGTACTGTCGATTGCAGGATGGTGACGAACACTTTCGAAATAGGTTACCAGATTAAAGTTCACCGTCCATCGATGTTTCTTTTTCAATTTGTAGCATTGCCTTATCCTAGAATGCCTGCATAACTACCGATGCCAGGTGATAAACAAGTTAACAGTCCTGTCAGCCCGGCGTCCAATACTGATGGCTGCATAGGTGGGTCTGAGTCAAGTACTAGAACAGCAAGCTTACACAACACACATACAATATCTGTTAAAAGCGCTGCTGTAGGCGCCCTCAATGCCATTTTCAACGGTTTAAAACTCGCACACCAGCAGAGGTAATTGGTTTTCGTGCTGGTCGCACTCCACAGCGCAGCTAAGGGCACTTCATCGAGTATTGCAGGGAACATGAGAATGTACACGTCATATGATGTGCATACCATAAAATCAGCATTTCACGATGTTTAATAAATACAAAATAAATAAGTCCCTGTTTCGTCTCTCAGTCATGGAACATACATCAGCTATCGAGTTGTTCTAACTGCTTTCGCATTCAGCAATTTCACCAAAGAATATTACATCCAGGCACCTGCTCATCTGCAACGTTTCGGATAATTGGTGGAACTTTGTGCCGAGCTGGCCGGGGTGCCCGGGCGAACCAAATCCGCCGCATTGATGGTGATCTTGGCCTCAACCGTCTGTTGCGGCTCCAAAGCCAAGCCAGCATGGGATTGGGAGAGCTCGGGCACCCCCAGCTCGGCACAAACCTCCACCTATGTTTCGGATCAATCGTTTCGATGAATTGTCGAGTGCTCAGAGAATGTTGATGCAACGGTGACATCCCGATCACTGTCAACACGGAAGGTACATACAGCGCACAGCTAAAGTAACGTGAGGTTCTGCCAATCTCAATAGACGGCTTTGACTGACGATTTTTAAAAACTGAGTGATCCAGCTAACTAGGACAGCAAAAGATGAGCTTGCAGCTGCAAGGATGATGGTACTTGCAAGATACATTCCAAGTTTCATTGTAGTCTGACCAATAGTTCCTAAGTTACACTACAGGTGCAAAGCTTCACCACTACTGAGACTGACACCTCACATCACTTTAGCGGTGGACTATGCAAAGAAAAAGAGAAGTATGCAAGTCAGATCGGTCCCACGACGCCATCAAACCAACCCTGTGGCAATGCCACTGTGGTGTGAGAACATCTGTGTTCCATCTACACCACTCAACGAGACACTCGCCCACGCCGACGACAGCCAGCGGCCGCTCCTCGCCGGCACGGGCTGCCGCGGCTGTCTCAGCGCACTGACTCGGTTCCAGAGCCGCTCCCGCCCGCCGCCTGCTGCTGCTGCTGCTGCTGCCACTGGGCGTACTGGTGCAGTGCGCTCCACTGTTTGGGCCCCAGCAGGATGTGCGGCCGGGCCTCCTTTATTAACTCCACAGCCCGTTCCGGGGTCCAGCCGTGGCGCTGTCGGAAACCAGTCGAGTTAGTGGTAAGAACGGTTCCGATGGTATGATATCGGTGAATTTATTCAAGAAAGTGCGACTTCCTGTATTTCGAATGTTTCGTTAACCTCCCAGGCGGTGGGGGGGGCATTTTTTTGCCCCCCCCCCCCTTTAGTTTTTTCGATATATCTCGAGAACCGCTGCGCCGATCGTCACCAAACTTTCAGTACCCTCCCGGGAGCAGCTAGCGCACATGGTGATCAAAATTTTTTCCAAAGGCTATGATAGGTTGGCCGCTAATGACGTCAGAGTGACGTCATTTTTGCCATTTTCGACCCAAAAAAAGGTTTCGCGGGAAGAGCTGTCAGGCCTACAGCTTTAGAGATGAAGAAAAATGTTTCAGACATAAAAGGTATGGAATTAAGAGGGCTACAAAACTGCTATTTCGGTTTTTCGAATTTTTTGGGTTTTGACCCCCAAAAATAAAAAAATAGATTTTTTGAATATAATAGCCAAAAAATCCAAAAAGTTTTTTGAATTTCGAAAAAACCGGAATATATGTGATAGCCCCTACCGCCTTCTATCTACATACCAAAATTGAGATCGATACCTCTTTTTTTGGCCAAGTTATAGCAAAAAAACTGTTCAAAATTGATGACGTCAAATTTTCAAACTCAATTTTTAGCAATTCTAGACCTCGTAGCGCAAAACAAAGACCACCATTAGACTCCCCGTGACAAGCTGCATCGAATCGATACCCATTTTATGCAAAAATATCAACTTTGAAATTTGACCTTTTTTGACCTGACCTTGACCTGACCTCCACCAGAAAGTGACCTAAACCGTACCTGATGGTCTTATAACCAACACCATTTAGTTGGAAATGAAAAACTGGCCATAAAACATGCATCGCATAACCTTAGTAAAGCTGGGCTCATTTGGTGACCCTTGGTGACCTTTGGTGACCTGACCTGTGACCTGACCTGGTATGACCAGTGACCTCTAATAGCAACATATGTACTAGACAACTGACGCCTTATCGCTGATTTTCGACAAAATGCGTTTTACTCGGTGTTATAGCGCTTTCCCTAGAAGCCCCGTGAACGGTGAAAAAAAATTTATCTTTGACCTGACCTGTGACGTCATCGGTGACCCCGAGGTCAATGAAATTTGGTTTCCCTCAACAAATTTGACAGGGCTATCGAACGCCGTTTGAATTTTCCGGATCCGTCCAGTAGTTTCGGAGATACGGGGGGGGGCAAAAAAGTGCCCCCCCCCCCCCCACCGCGCGGAAGGTGGCTGGTAGGCCCACCGCCTGCCGGGTTAACGGGCGTATGAAAGCTAGCTACTGTGGCCACACATTTGATGCTTTTCATTCTTGTTTCTAATTGAGATAAAAAGATGAATCACGTTTATACTTATAATTGGCACACTTAGCCCACAGCACGTGTCACACCCGCCCTGTGAGCCACCCGCCATTGCTGCTGTCGGAGACGGAAACTCACCTGCATGAGATAACACCCGACCAGCGTAGCGCTGCGCGTCCTGCCCGCCTTGCAGTGGACGTAGACGGTGTTACCGGCGGCCCGGTGATGGTCGATAAAGTCCACGCCCAGCCGCATCTTCTCCTGACACGGCGCCACGAAAATGTCGGTGGTGCTCAGCTGGAGAAAGTCCACGCCGTGTGCCGCCCAATCCTGTCAATAGGATGGCTCCAGGTAACAAAAGATCCACGCCGTGTACGTACCGCCTATTTCTGTCGTTGCGGCAGGGCCCACTTACACTTATACGGTCACCTGGTTTAGCTGAGATATCTGGGTAGCTCAGTTGGTAGCACAGAATTGAACTTGTGTATCAGCTGAAAACATCGCTGATTGGCAATATGGTGATTGGTGTGGTTGTGCTTCTGACACCTCAGAACACTCCTCTACAAAGACTTCGTTCTTAGTGAGTTCCTTTTTCCAAGCTCATTTTTATGACTCTGCCAGTTTGTTTAAAATACTTTACACACATGTCCAGAGACTCTGAGCATGTTCTGTTTAGAGTGTACAGGTATTTGACCATCGAACTTGGAATGTTCTTCAAACACACTAAGCTCGGCGATTTCAGCCAACTTGTATTCAATGTCCCAAAATTTGTCTATTTGGGTGGGAAACGACATCCAAATGAAATTCATTTTCCACTCTCACCACCATTTTTAAGAACAATTTTCCACTCCCAAGTCCCAACCAAGAAAACATTGATTTTTTACCTATAGAAAGACAGTTGTGTGGATGCCCAGTTAGCATCAAACATTCTACACCCTAGAATAAAATGCATGCTTTTTGTCATTTCTCACTCCTTTTTGATCTAATCGAATCAGCAGTTTTCCACTCTCTCCCCTCTTTTTGGTGGGTAATTTTCCCCTCTGACACCCAAGACAAAACTCAATTTTGGGACACTGCTTGTATCGCCTTGCCTCAGTGTATTCATGCCAAAGGTAGCTGTGCATAATGATTAAGCACACACATGAGGGATTAATGAGGCACGAGCAGAATAGAGCAGGTGTTAAGCTTTGAACCCTGAACTAGAGGAAACCCCAGAAAGCACACAGTGTAAGTCCCTCCAGGCTTGGGTTACAACCCAGTGTTCATGTGCTTGTGGCTTGAGGAGACAGTGTCATGGATGTAAGAGAGCTAGACTGTGTGCTAATCTGCATTTGTTGAATTTCTGGAGCTAGTCTTATGGCGATCAGTTAATCAATGATGATGGCTCAATGATGAACAATATGAGAGAAGTTTGCAAATCACCAAAGTGGCAGTCAAATGGCAATCACATAGTTCATTGGAGAATTTAGGACAGAGCAGCAACAAACCAAAGAAAAAGGCATCAAATTGTCCAGACAACTTTGGCAAGCTGCATGTTATGCGTTGTGGTAGGTATAAGCCAATGGTGGTACCTATTTCAAAATGATACTATCGATAAATAGTATCATTTTGTACTGTTGATAGACAATACCATTGACAGTTATCAGGTTTGAGACACTGGGACATAAGGTCATCATCATAATATGCTTCCATGACTACTGATCAGCAAGCACAGTTTTCTTCCCTCTTAGGAAAAAGGGTACATTATCAGCATTAAACTTGAAACAAGGACTCATCCAGAAGTGTGCAAAATATAAGCAGAAGGGACAGCAATGGGACCTAATAATAGTCTAGCCTATCACACAAAAGCATGATAGAGAAGATATACCTTAACCTACCTCTTTCATGTTGGATAAGAACTTAAGCTCATAGTCTTCATTCATTGACACAACAGCCTTGATTTCTTCCTCTTCAACAAGCTGGAACAGAGAAGATTATAAAAACTGTTAAGTTAATAATGGCACTTCATAGTTCATTTTCCCTCCATCAATATGAACCACGTTACGTACCTATGGTGACTACCTAGGTACTCATCCTTTGTGCTTGTCAATCCAAAAGTAGCATGTCAATCAAACCTGTCATTGGCCATTCTGGAGAAATACATTCCTTTACAATATATAACTTCTGTGAAAAAAGGCATGAGGAAACTTAGCTCATAATCTGCAGCTCCACCCAATCACCTTGTATCTCAAAGAAAACAAAAATGTCATCATTAATGGAAATTTTATCACATTTCAATTTTGTGTGAAAAGCATTTGCTTGATTCAGAAAACATCTTGCCAAAGTATGGGCATCTACCTTATGCTATAGAGTAGGTAAGCATAAGGTTTTAAGCATAAGGTTTTATGCTTACCTAGGTACCCTATAAAATCCACCAATAAGTGGGTTACCTACTTTGTGAAGTGTGAGCTTACCTGCTTTGTCATGTGACGAAAAGGCAGAGCACCCAATATAACTGTGTCATCCACTCTGTCCCACCACCTCCTGTTTGAAAGCCTTTGCATAAAAACATTATAAGCCAAAGTGGGAATGAAGGATGCTCTGGCAAACATCTTCCAGCACACTGCACTCGGACCGACTCGAGCGCTCTCGCCGGAGGCACTGCGGCTCGCCGATGCGTTATTGGGCTCCATTCACCTTGCGGTTCAGAGGTCAGACCGCCTCAGCCTGATACGCTTTGAACTAATTCAGTGATACTATTTCTGAATGAATTGCACTGCTAGTTCAAAAACAATTCAATTTTGACCCACTTGCAACATGCAAGTACCGTTATTTTCCTCAAGTAGTGTTTTCGTAAAGTGCAGTTCACATGCCTGGTTTCTCACTCTACAGCATGTACATTTTCCTGTTTTGAAAAATGTAAAAAAAAATACAAATCTGGAAAATGATATGCAAGTCGAACCAACTTTATGAACCCAAATATATCTGCCTTTTAATATCGGTAGAAAACTGATACAGTTACGATTTGAATGGGTAAGACTTTTGCATTAGAGGGTCACCTATGATGCGGTATAAACAGAGACTTGCGCTTTGAATGTCTTTGCTGCGCAAGTATCCCATCAGTTACGTCTTCTGCAGTAGAGACAGTACAACTAATTTTATTACGCGGGTATATGATAAGTTTATAAAAAGTAATAATTTTAATAGACCCTCTGGTACATGAGTCAGAGGAATTAGGAACTGTTAGATAAAATCTTGCGTCACCTATCAGTTGGCTGTTTCTTCCGATATGTCGATTTACATTCAAACTGATTACCAGGGGCTCCGCCATCGGCATGGGGTCGCGGCCTGCGGGGTGCGGACCCCCAATAATTTGACTTTCGTAATGCAGCCTAATTTATAAAGACGTGCCTTTCAGGGTTGGACATCCCTCAAACGTGCACTACTGTAGAAATGCCCCTGAAAGTGACCAGCGCACACTGCACAGCGTAACGCCAATTAGGAGCCAACATATCCATCCACGATCACTCCCCGTCATGCCTGCTATGCCTAAACGCGGAACAACCGAGCATGCCTGCTTTGCCGGGAACATTGCTTTGAAGTGCATGTTGATTGCGCTCTTTATAGTACAAAGAGCGCAATATAGCCCTGAACTTCTGTTTTTAAAACTCCAACTGCTGCAGACCCATGGTGTGTCGTTTCGGGAACTAGCGACCCGCGGCCGGGCGCCGCGAAGAGGTGCCCGCCATAGGGTTTTGGGGCTATTTTTCCACGTTTCGGTCTGAATCGTGAGAAGTACTGGTCGTAGCAAATATGTTCCCTGGTTTCTGAATTTTCAGCTCACGTGGAATGCGATAGGACAAGAGTCATTTTCTTACAGACAAAACTGTGTCCGCGTTTTTTGGTCAAAGTTAAAATGTTCAGCAGCTTTTAACACGTTGGCCGCCGCAAAACAGGGTACACCGGAGGACTTACGATTCAATATCTCCGAAGCTATCATAGATAGCAAATATGTTCCCTGGATCTATGTAGATAATACTTTAGAGAACACTTCAGGCCAAAAATTGTTTCTCGACAACTTACACCCAGCCCGCGTTTTTGGCTTAAATGCAATGCAACACGGCAGCCGACCTTTAGGGCTCAGTTAGCGAGTTTATTTTTTAGCGAGCACTTCGAGCATTTCAGCGTTCGATGAAATGACATATTTTTTCAGCGCAGTCGTTTCTTCATTTGCATCTAAACGCGGCCTATATGATAATGTGACGGTATCGTCACACTAGAATGTATAATTCATCGTAATTTATAGAGCTAATTCTCGGCGCACGGCAGCAGCAGACGGACACCGACTGACCCACCATCTAAAGGCAGTTTGGCGAAGCAGTATCGTGAATCACAGCCGCGAGATGTCCCTAGCGTAGAACACCGTCTGTTTGACCAGTTTAAATACGTAATGTTTGCCCTCTGTCAACCCCTCAGTCATGGGGCTGGGGTCGCGGATGAATGGGCGACCGCCCCCCGCCGCGCGGGGAGGGGGCTGCTCCCCTGACCCGAACCGCCACGGCGTGGGGACGGTCCCACACTCGCGTGCCTCACGTCGCCGCCTCACACCGGTCAATTACGCTGGTTTTGAGGAACCGCTCATTGTGGTGGTGGGTGATCCAACGCAGACCATGCCAGAACCCCACTGAGGGGGTGTCACCCGTGTCAGCTGGCTCAGACCCATGATATCCCCTATCCCCATACCGAAAGCGACGTTCCAAAGAGCAATATGCGTATAGTAGGTATTATTGATGTTTAATTCAAGAATGTAGGTAGGATGTAAGTACATGCATGTAAGTACATACCTAGGGGAGACCCGGGGCCGGGAGGTATGGGCCGGGGGCCCCCTGGAGGTATGGGCCATCGCAGTTTTGAAGAAGTGTTGCGTATTTTTACACATTTGATCGCGTAAACTGGTAGCAGCCATTCCGCTGTACAACCCAAGTGATTTCCAAAATTTTCCTCAGTCTTCTTTTACAATGAGCGGTGATAAAGCGTTTTTGTCCTCTTCGAGTAAAATACGGGACCTACATACCTACAGAAAATTCGTGATAAATTTGAACCAGTCTCGTTTTATGATGTCAGACCATCGGTAATATAAAGTATAAAGCATGCAAATTAAGACTGGATAGACAATTTGAAGCTTTCTTGCAAGATTATGAGCTGAGATGCTACGCACATTCTGGCGTCCTAACCGAGAGGTTCGGTCCACCCACCCCCGTTGATCCTAAATCAATAAAATGATGCTTTCATTGAATGTCCTCTTCAATTAGTTTTATTGTCGTCGCGTAAGGTCAAAAATTTAACTACAAATTTCATTCGAACAGAAAATATTATTTATCTTATTTCATAGAGCATGATTGAGTTTACCAAAATACATATGTGCCCACGTGACCCCCATGAAGTAAGCTGTTGGCTGCTTATGCGGTTCCTGGGCTCAAGAGAGATCAAGGTAGATACCAGTATAGCGCCTTTTGGGGCGACTAACGGAGCGAGCGAGGGGGTGAGTCTTGCACGTGCGAAATTTCGAGGGGGTACCTCCAACTGACTTGTGCACGGCACCCTACTGACCGGTTTCTAGCGATGTGCCAAATTTGAGCTCCCGTTCTCGAGATCTGGAAACGACCCCTGCACGTGCGCGCGTGCAGCAGCACCCCAACTCTGGCACATGGATATGCAGTGCCTAGTGGGTGCCTACCTACATGCCAACTTTCAGCGAAATCGGCCAAGTAGTTACCGAGATATTGCAACAATTACAAAACTGACACCTCTTCGTTTTGCACGTGACACGTGCATAAGGGGTCACCCACATGCATCGGGAATAGTCCAATACTTGGTAGAAGGAATGAAGCTACCCTACAAAAATTACCGCGTGTAAATCGGTCAAGTGGTTGCTGAGATATAAGCCTCGCAAAAGCGTGACCACGGCCGGCCGGCCGGCCGCTCATACTCAGAAATTTCCGTTAATCTAAGGAAAGACTACGCTCGCTTCGCTCGCTCTGTAACCAGCTACGAGTATTGTTCTCATTATCGAGAAAAGAATATGAAACATGGCACCGGCCCATACCTCCCGGGCCATGGCCCGTACCTCCCGGTGTATTTTGATGGATCGAAAAAGTGCATGATTTATTGAAAGTTATCTCGAGACAAAATAGTTGATCCCAGATGCCTAATATCAGGCACACTTTGCAGGCGAAAGGCAATTTCACGTACGCAGAGTGAAAAACCGGGTCTAGCCACTTCCCACTGGAAGAAAATTGCCTTTTCACAAAACCGGCCCATGCCTCCCTGGTCTTCCCTACATGATGTGCTTAAGTACCCCAACTATACAACTTTGCCCTCTCAGCTCGAGGCATAACCTGTTTTACTTTAAAGACATATTTTTAGTGACTTAACACTCGCACTTATAGCGGGGTCGGACGGACCCCCCCCCCCCACCCCCGGTTTTTCGCGAATAATTCGCGCAAAAAGCGGCCGATCGCGACGGAACTTTCAGTACCCTCAAGTTAATCAATTTTACACATACTTTTAAATTTATTGACCCTGACCCCAATGACCGTTGACCTGTGGTCTGATTCTCGAGACCATGTTCGACCGAATTGGTGTATGTCGGCTCACATTATCCGCGCAATTTCCAGTCTTTTTGTGGTGTGGGTTTCAAGGTCACATGAAGGTCAGATCATGGTCATTGACCTTTGATGACCTTGCTTCACTTTTTCGAGTTTTACATGTTTCTTGGGTAGTTTTTGGAGCTGATTTCGAATTCCCATTTGAAGATTTATGAAGTAGTTTTGGTGCCATCGTAACATGCTACGAAGCTGTCCATCATGGTCAACACCTGCTATGGATGGCCGGCAGGTCTCCTACTGGTTGACCTGACCTGACCTGACCCGACCTGGCCTAAATACATTAAGACATCATAGGTATGTGATCAAAACTAACATGAACTACGTGTTCAGCACCCCGCAAAATCCCTTTTCAACCTCACTTTACGAACTTCCAGCAAGTCCCGATTTTTCCGATTTTTGGGTCATTCACATTGACCTGACCTGGAAGGTCAACCAATGACATAAATAAGACCATAAAATTGGGTATCATCGGCTTACTCTCGTCGCGGGCAACACGCTCGTTTTTTTTTTCTACGAAGCTCTAGCTCCATCAGAGGCCGAACGGCAAGGAGGGTCCAACGGACCCCCCCCCCCCCCCCTATACGTTAGACGCTGGCAAACAAGAATGCGGGCGAAGGTTAAAACACAGGAGAAATATTATTACGAACGAACGGACCGCGCAAGCGAAGCAAAATCTTTTTAAGATAACGGAAAGATATCAGCATTTACATATACCTAACGGCCCGGCCCAGCCTGTAACGCTTTTGAGAGCCGCATATATTTCATGTCTCAGTATCCGTTGCAGTGGTTGGGCTGATCGACCTGCCACACTTTTTGTTGGGAAGCCTATTTCTTCTACCCCATGATTAGTAGCTCTTAACCCTCGCATGTGTGCGGCGTTTGCCAGCTTCTAATGTGTAGGGGGGGGGGGTCGGTTGGACCCCCCTTGCCGTTTGGCCCCTGATAGAGCTAGAGCTTCGTGAAAAAAAGAGCGTGTTGCCCGTGACGAGAGGAAGCCGATGATACCCAATTTTAAGGTCCTAGGTCATTGGTTGACCTTCCAGGTCAGGTCAATGACCCAAAGTCGGTGATCGGGACCTGTTAGAAAGTCGTAAAGTGTGGCTGCTAAGGGTTTTTTCGGGGTGCTGATCACGAATATCGTGTTAGTTTTGATCATAGATGATGTCTTGATGCATTTAGACCAGGTCGGGTCAGGTCAGGTCAACCAGATATATGATATGATATGTATTCTCGGTGATCCACACATACATCGTGGTTTTTCATACACCGCGTCGATATAAAACACACTAAAAGATCCTCAATAGGTACAGATAAAAGCAATGGGTTAAAAGAAAAGCGAGCGAGACAAGCAGTTAAAAACTTACACGCACACATACAACACTCCCACGCAGCCGATGACGTCACTCACA